CCCCCCCTAGGAGGGACGCAATAAAAACGTCAAGTAAACACCAGCATTGACAGTTTTCATGAAAACTTCCTGGATTTCCATTTTTTTTTGGAGGATGAATCAGATGTCGGCAGCAAAAAACAACGAGAGAAAAAGAAAAATCGCAAAAAAAGATAAAATTACAATTAGACCATAGGTATAGTGGAGAAGAATTCAGCGCATCAGCGCAAAATTCAAGTTGAATCAAATGAAGCGTATGAAACTCAGCCTTTTACAGAGTGGATTAGGTACCAGAGGACCAAAAGTAGATGGAAAGATCGCAATTCACAATTGCGAGTAGGTCCTATATGCTGAATGATCATTCAAATGTCATAACAATTCTTATTGGAAGTTGAGTGCATGGCGCACCCATGAGCTGATTCAATTGCGCCATCTATCTCTGCCATCATAGATTTAGCAAACAATCTTTCTATTGATACTTGTATTCGACAGAAAAGAGAGCAGTGATTTCTGCCTAGGATCTTTGTAAGAATAAAAGGAGGCTTGAAAGAGAGAGAGAGAGAGAGAGGGAATGATGTGGAAGTGTAAAAGTCTATTTCAGCTCCTTTTCTGTGAATGTACAGGCAGTACCTATTGCCAGAAGCTTAACCCAATGAGAGTATAAGTAAATCGCAGTAACCATTGGTCTAAATTCACTGCCGTAATGTAGCCACCTGGCTCTTTGCATTAGGACCAAACTTGGCAGGCGGGGTTGACCCCGCATGAAAATTTGAATAATCCAAATTAATCCCGATATTACTCCTGAATAATCTGTACTTCCGTCCCTCTTTTGTTTACGACCAGGCGGGTATCGTACCTAGCAGAGAAGGGAAATGGCGGGGAGGGGAACGGGCGAGAGACGGGTATCATGGGAAATGGGGGCTTGGTAGGGTGACAGTGGACATCAATTGAATTCTATAGCGATAGAAGTCGAGCTCACCCACTACAACTAACTCCTACTTCATCAAGCAGGTCAAAATCATTTCCCATACTGCACTCATTTTCACGGGCACTCATTTTTCTCATTTTCAGGGAGAGTTCTGGGAGACATGCACTTTCGCTAAGCTACGCTTGTGGGAGTCATGAGACTTATTCAACAACTTCCGAGAACGAGTAGTGAATTCGGGAGCAAGGAAGATTGTTGAGCAGTACCCGAAATACAGCGGGCGTGTGGAGCGCCTTAGGCAATCCTCAAATTGAACCACGTATAACTCGTCCAAAATCAAGAATAACTTGAGAAACTGAGGTCCTCATTTTTGAGGTCGCAAAACACCGACAGCGATTTCTTCCACATTTCTCATAGCTGACGGACTATCATATAAAAGATATACAATGTGCTATTTTAGCGTTGACTAGAAATGCTTTGGGATGCGCCCAACGCTCAACATTCATTTGAAATCGTTGAGTCGTTTGGGTGCGTATGTGGCCTATACAATGGCTAGCGGTCATCCGATGTAAAAGTCAGTGCTTTTATCCTTCCAGACGAGCCTGGTATCAATTAACCGACCCCGAAGGGATGGAAGGCTTGGTCGGCCTACGCGGATATGGATCCTGGATTCGATCTCTAGACCATTCGTCAACCTACGCCAACCAGGTGATAGAATAATTACAACTTCATTCCTAAGCAAAACTAGCACACATATTTCAGTGGAAGTATTGGCCGTTCTCTGAGACCAATAGTCTTCAGATTCAATTTCTTTAATCTTAGGCTGTAAGTCAATTGCTTCATGCTGTCAGACTTGTCCGAAAGGCGATTTATCTTCAGGAAAAACGGACTAAGCCAATATTTGCAATTGCCAGCCACAGGAAATCGTGTGCCGTCACTATAGACCTCGGCCTAGATTGGAAGTTATACTGATGAAAAGACAAAGTGCTCACTGCCAAGTACTTCCTTCCGGGAAGACAATTATTCCATTTTTGGCTTATGGTTCAAGTACACTTTCATTACTCCATGGAATGGTGAGGACAGCCCTGTTGTTATTGATTAGGATCGCCCCAATGGGCAAGGGACAGGAAAGTCTGATGTCTCTGATGTGGGAATGTGGACAATTCAGAATGATGAGGGTACCCTGAAATCGTGAGGCTAGCAGGGTTTTCAGGTACTGTTCTACTCATGCCAGTGAATTATTCCACCGAAGAACTGCACCGTGCACGAAAAAATGGGGTCCAGTGTCAGCTCTGACTTCTGAAGTAGGAAGAAAAAGCTTAGAAAGTTACGAGGAGGCAAAAATAATTATGGTAAGCGTACGGCATAACAAAACTACAACTTGGCTGTGACGCGGATGGAAAGAAACCCTATAATAACAGTTACAAACTAACTACTTCAAGAAGAATTCCTTTTATAAAGAGGAAGACTACGAAGGGCCAAATATAGGAATCTCTGACGTTTGCGAATGTATGTCTTCCCTTTTTTCTTTCACCTCCCAAGAGGAACTTCTCAGAAGAAAGTCAGTGAGCATCCGCCAGCAGAATCACGTATGAAACTGTCCCTATGACTTTTTTCAACCCAACCCCCTTACTGGGTTCCCCAGAGTACATAGTCTGCGACCACAGGGAATCGCGACTGCTGTATTAAATGTGTATAGATCCGATTGACCCAGCTCACCCACCTTACTGGTAGAATCCACGAATCTTTTCATAGCTCAGTGGATACCTATGTTTCTTTCCCCCAGATTCTTGTGATCTCCCACTCTTCAATCCCCAAAAGCGACCGCAGGGACATACTCGCGCGCCTTGTCATTTTAATTGACAGCACCTTGCTTTGTGCATTCAATTCATCAACTACAAATTCTCTCTCGAATTACATCAATTCGAACAGAAAAATTTTGTTTACACAAACTTTCCCATGCTTGTTTTGCTTATGGAAGCTCCTTAAAATGGGCACAAATGGAGCATACTCGTCACCCAGGGAGAAAAGTCAATTCCTAAAGAGGGACGATAGAAGCTCTTGTTCATTCATTCCCAACCTGGGTACTGTAAATACCGTTCTGAAGAGAGTACTGTATCGATTTTGGAAGACAAAACTATTAGTTCTCCCTTAGTAGTACGACAAGGTCGAAAAAGGTGGGCATTATAATTATACCACGCTATTCAACAGGTGAAAAGCCCATTTTCATCCGGCCATTACCTTTTACTTAGGCTTGAACTTTGAGTCAGGAAAGTACAGGGGATTGGGTAAGGAAGTGGGTGGGGCCAAAGTGCATAAGGTACAATTACAGCAGCACTGGTACAGTATGGCCTAGCTTTATAAAATCACTGCTAACACCTCCTCAACCTACTACTACGGTATACTCGCTCCTATGAGGGCAATGTAATAACCTTCAGCTACTTGAACCTTGGCCATTTCTTTGGAGACCCAGGAACACCTGTCTAAGTTGGGGTGGTTGCTGAGGGGATGAAATTCGTCACCAAGCTAGTGAAGAGCGTTCCACATTACTTGGTAACCCCAGAGCAAGTCCAAGTAACTAGTAAACAGTAAATATTGGGAAAAAGTGAGTTATGGCAGTAGCAGTACATGGGTACTTCATCTTGCCAAACGCTAAACACACATATCGTCACCTCTCGTTAATTTTCATATGTATTATTTATGACATCCCCTCGTCCCCTACCAACATCCATCACCTCTTGAAATTCGCCACCTTTATCTTCCTCCTACACGACATTTCAATGCACTTTGAAGGGTACTCAATGAGGCTAAGTGGAGGAGAGAGAACCCATTTAGGATGTCAAAGGAAGGTGGAATGATGCCGAGTGACACCCACCAATTACACCCAAAACAAATTGGATCACAAGGACCACGATCTCTGTGAACCAAGTTTTTCATTCTTCCGGGGTCAGCCAGTCGTACCAGACCGGATAGGGCTGGTAAAACCATTTATCGTCAAAACGTCTTAGATAGGGGCAATAAAGGCTCAATTGTCCAGAATGTTCTAAGCTTGGAACGACGCCCATTTGTGGACGTGTTGAACGATCCAGGGGAACTGATCAAAAGCTCAGTAACTAGTTGTAATGGGACCCTCCGTGCTGGTTGAACTCGCTCATAAAAACCCTTACATCGCCATACCCTCGCGCCCGTACAAGCTGAAGACTGACAGGTGAGAAGGCCTCTATTTTTCGATTTCGTTGGGTTTTTCCGGACTTTCCAGAAAATAGTACCCTAACGCTCCCGCTCCTGAACCCACTAATCACACGTCACTTTATGTGGATCGTTCCTTGCAAAGCTGCCAAGGTCCTGAGAAGAAACAAACAGCATGGAAGGACCTTTGAGGAAAAATCGATACCAAAATTTTTAATTTCCGACACATAGAAATGTGTCAAATTAAATATGCTAGTAATAAATCAAGTGCCAAAATCAATTACAAAGAAAAAAAGAGTCTGGAGCATCATTAAGTGGTGCCATTTCCCGGCATGAAAGCTCTGACGGCACTGTTCTAAGAAAAAAACCCGTGGTCTGAGATCAGATGTCACTGCGGACGGAGCTCGATTAATTCGCAGTCTTAATTCACAACACGTGAGGAAAGAGGCCCCGGCAATGAAATCGAAAAGGAAAGCCGAAACCGAAAAGCTACCGAATATTCGTGAGAGAAAGTGCAGCCATAGCCAGCCGGCTGACTGACTTGGATGGCCTGATCCCCTCGGTCCACGAATTTATCATTTTCAAAAGAACTTGAGAACTGAAGCGACACAGTGGCAGTGGACCAGTGAAAAACAATTAGAATGAGTTACAGAATTGAAAAGAGCCATCACCCAAGAAGGGTCTGGTGGTGTCAGTGGTTACGGTAACGTTTGTCCCTTTTTCAGGATCAGGTGCAGTCTGGTACAATAAGTTCTCTACCGCCTGATAAGAGGAAAATCAGATCGGAGGCGTCTGGGGCCACTTTATCTGGCTACGGAACTCGGAATTTCCAGAACCTTCCGAAATATCGAGAGAAAAAACGAAACTCAAGCATCACAGGCATTTCAGAGAAATGAATTAGGGTCGATTTTCTTCCCCTATAATTCTTCAAAAAAGGAAAGAAGAAAAATTTCGATTCAGTTGAAAAAAATCGTTCCAAGAGGTGTCGAAACGTGACGGAAGAAATCCCAGATCAATTATGAAAGAGGAACAGAATGAAAAGAGCATGAGTGTGAAAGATGAAATATTCGAGCGTGAACAACTCAAGTGTAATAACATTTCAAAGTTCGTTGTTCACGGTTGAATAGCCAAAGTATAAATGGTTCACATAATGGGGAGAAGTATAAATGAAATAGAAAAATTAATATAGAAATGGCCTACCGTGAGTTTAGTGGTGGAAGGCACATTTTGGGCGATTTCGGCAGCTGCTTGTTTTGCCTAAAACACGAACGAAAATTGGTGATGTTAGCGGGGCAGGAAATCGTTGTGAGATGAATTAGCGCTTGAGAAAGCCCCACAACTGTCGTCTGGGTTGCCACGAGTAAATATCATTGCCAAAACCTAAAATCTGTGAAAGGCTTGACCATACCCAGGATCAAACCCCTTAAAGAACCTCCCGTAACGGTAATGGCAACGGCAGGAAATCGCGCAAACCCGAAAAACACAACCAGGGAATTATCTGATTAACGGAAGACCTAAAAATTACAAGGAAGTTGAAACAAACCTTCCCAAGAGCACCGGAGGCGAACTTTCCGAGGCCAGAGAGACGAAATCGGCCTCCCTGGCTGGAGTCCAGCATGCCACCAGTAGCAGCTGCAGCAGAAGACGTGCGATCGATGCCAGCCTCAGTCCTGCCCCTCGCAACGATCGATGACGGAGCTAAATAGAACAACACATGCGCTAAATTATTCCCAAACAGGCAACGTCATTACATCCGCTAGTGTTGGAATCTTCCGGGACCCAGGGGTCATTAGGGGACTGATCTTTGTTGTCCCAATGCCCGCTTGAACTGTTTCTGACTCGGAAATTGTTTTTGCAGGCAATCTGGCCGGGCGGCAAATGATGTAATCCCCAAGTAGGAGATATGTTGTGGCCTTCTACAAGTAAGTACTCCCAAGCTGGAGTGGATTCAACATCTTTCTACTTTGAGCGCCCACTAGAGACCTTTTTCTCCGGTTATGCAAGCCTGAACGATGCCGGGCGACAAATCCATTTGCCGCAAAAAGGCCGACCAAAGGGTCAAGTGTGTGAACGTCATAATTGAATCGGGCAAAACGACCTTCCACTTCCCGGCTATTTCCATGCCACTCCTCTTTCGGGCAACTCTTCTAGTCGTCTATTGGTTTTGACTTAAAAAAANNNAAAAAAAACAACAACAACGTTGCCGGATGTGATGAGGAAAGAGAGTAAGCATCTCCCAAGTGAAGAGTTCCTCCCTAAAATACCCAAGCCTAAACTGGAAGATGTCTTATTCTGAACATTCACATTCTACGACCGCCAGCCCATTTTACCCAGTCGATGCAAACGTCATCTGGCAGATTCAAGTCGAGTCCGGCTTTTCAGGACTCTCTTCGAGTCGATACGCGAATGCGTACGGGTGGGGCGTATTTCCCATTAGGAGGAGGGAATAGCGCCATTCACCCTGTCTGGGCCATTTATAATAAATCAGTTTCAGCTACAAACGAGGCATGGCATCCAAACATGGTCAACTAGTGATGGCCAAAGCTCTCTTGAAGTTCTGCATGAATAGGATATCCGTTGAATAACTGCAGTCAACCGTAGAAAACTAAGAAGCAGACCAGAAATCGGATCTAATCGGTGCTCATTAGGTATTCCCTCGTATGAGGGGATCATTAGCGCATAATCCTTACCCACTACTATCCCGTTTCCGTGGACTGCAGATCCCTGCCCCATGTTCCCAAGTTTAACCTCCCAAGGCAGCTGGTGGAAGGGGAAGTCACGAGGGCAGAGCAAACTTATCATCAGAACCAGATTTTTGCCTCTTTCTACTTTGTAGGTAATCCTGAGAGCTTAAAATTGTTTTGCTAGGAGTCTATAATGGCGTTCGGGAAGCGCCTTCGCTAAATGCACTATCCTTGGCTTGAAGCCCATCCATTGGGCCTCTCTATTCCCCAGGGTAGGCTTTCTGGTAACCTATTTAATCGGGAGGATGGAAATACTGCCCCGAATAGCGGTTAGCCCCTCGAGTCACTAAGTGGATTCAAAAATAGCTATTGAAGGGTAAATATTGTCGCTCGATGGCACTGGTGAGACCCATTATCATAAATTATCATAAATTATCACTGATTCGTACACATCAACGCCACTGCTATCATTCAGTACACGCAGTGCCAGTCATATACGTAGGGGTCAGAAGGTGCAAAATCAAAAGGATCAATCCGCATAGTCCGCATGAAAGAAGGTTTATGATGGTGATTTCCTTACGTAGTTAGGTTGAGTAGCCTAATGCTATGCTATGGTCATAATACGGCGCAGTATCATAAATTACCATCGTTTCCTACCCATAGTTACCATTATTTCCCAGTGCTACTCTATCATTACATTACCCTTCTGAGCGGATGGTGCACCTACTAAACATGGAAGGAGAAAGGCTTATTCGTGAAGGGAGATTAGCTCAAACTGGTAATTCCCTCACTTAATGAGGCATTACAGCCTAAAACGAGCCTAGTTATAGGCCTAACTTCAAGTCATCATAATGCGATTACAAGAAACCAAATGTTGCTAAGTTATGAATGCTGAGCAAGAGAAGTTCGAGAGGCCTCTGGAAAGGCGTGAGCATTCATGCGAGGGTTAAATGGTTTGAAATCGGCCTGCGTATCGAAAGCTATTCGACTATTCCGATAACGCTCGACTGCAGCCAACAGCTGTTCAAGGCCTTCATGGATGAGGGCGTTCAAGCGTTCGAGGAATACAAGGGCGTCATTGATAAGGTCTTTTTTGTGATTTTCTTGTACTGTTTTTCTTAACTTCACCATTTCACTAGTTCTCTGAGTAATCGTGAACATGCCAAGTGAGTTTTTCTTTTCCATATAACTTCATTCAAAAATAGTAAGGCTTGTAAAGAAAAAGCGGAGTTTTGGATCTTACATGGGAGTATGGGCCTTTCTGTTCCCAAAATCTCTGTTCCCATGCTTGAACTGTACTACAAACAGTATATCGCTGATCAGAGGGTAATTTTCGTCCCTGATAAAATCATCGAACAGTCCCTGATAATCAGGAGGCTCTCGGTAAAGCCTCCTGTTTACCAGGGACTGTTCAATGATTTTTTGGAAAATCCATGGAAGACAAGTCCCCACGCAGCCGCTGCGATTCCGCATAGATTCCTGTGAGCCTGAATGCTATTGTTCGGGAAAAGGGGGATAGTAAACAATAGGAACGACTTTTTAAGTTGCTTTCACTGCTGGCAAAATGCAGAGAGAATCAGCCATATTCATGGCGCACCCGGTAAGAAATGACATCAATCAGGTACTGTCTAATTGCAACAAGTTACCTGATACAGGACTTTCATGGAATTCTTCTGTAGATTCGATCGCAGACACTGATGGAACCTGAAATAAGGTGCATTTTTGCGAAATGAGTTTTGGCTAGAAACAGTTGATGACATAGATCTTGAAGAGATTATGATACAGTTGGATAGCCTACAACAAAACTTCACTGGTTGGTGGAAATAAAGTGAGATGATCGTTAAGAACACGATTTTTTCTACATTGATGGTCCAAAGGCGATGATCTTGGGGGGATAAATCACCGTCCGAGGGATAAGCTCACGCTTTTGACTTCCATTCAGGATCCTGGTGGTGTAGTGAATGCGTATATAGCCTATATAATGAAGTACGATGGCGAGCCGATGTACAAGTCAGCGCTTTTATCCTCCCAGACGGTTCTGGTACCAATTACCCGGCCCGGAAGGATGGAAAGCGCTTGGTTGGATTGGCGAATATCGATCCGCGATTCGAACCCGTGACCATGCGTGTGTGCAGGGCGTAACTTGGCGCTACACCACCTCATATTTAAGATCTTACGCATTTAAGATCCACTGAAATCTTTGTGTAGAAGGCTACCGGATGTGTACTGGTGAGCTTCGCGTCGATGCTTCGACATCATCCGTGGTCAATGACACTTAGGTATTATCTACCCTATCTATCTAATCTAGAACCCCCTGCAAGGTAAGATGTGGAGGGAGGAAGGTGATCAGGAGACATGGAATAAAGCAGTCGAGGTGCATCAGCCAAGAACTTTAGACCTCGATTATCCAACTACTCGACACGCTTTCAAGTGACCTATCTTTTATCATAAAGAATCATATTTACCATAAAGAACCAGGCTCTACCTCTCCTAAGCCTCATATTCTAAGATATTAGAGAGTAATGGACATGGAGTTAGTCGTATGGTGAAATTGAATTCAAGAAAAAAGAGAGTGGGTCAAGTAAAATACCTGTGCAGGACTAGGTAGTGCAGGGACCTCGGGCTCGTTGTCGTGGACATCTTCAGCGAATCGATCTTCGGCAACTGAAATGCCAAAGTTCCCTGGAATATCAAAAAAGTAACCAAAAGTCTAAAATGACCTGGAGATTTTTCTCGCTCTCCTTCGCTGAGACGATACTCTTCTTCCTCATCGGCGATGGACTCCTTCATGAAGGACAGCTGCTCGTCGTACCATTGGCTCAGATTCGGCTTGGTGACCATTTCAGGAATCGAGCGGACGTCGAACCCACTTGATCTTCTTCTCATTCCGCTCTGTACATCTTGTCGTGAAGCAGTGCTACTCACAGGAGACAGTTGATCATCATATGGCTTCTCATCCTCTTCACGAATACCTCTACTTATTTGTTCGCGATCTGGGGATAGAAGTTCGTCAACCGGAACTGAGGCAATAACATCCTCCTGCTCAGTCTGCCCTTCCTTCATCATCTCGAGAAGCCTGCTTTCATAGTCAAGCTCCTCCTCTTGAATGAGTTCAATTGCACTTTCTGGCAGAACAGCAGGTGGGAGATGAGTAGCTTTTCTATCTTCCTCTTCCATGGCCATTTGATTAATTCTGTTGATATGGTCGAGCTCCTCTTGAGTGAGTTCAGCAGGTCTTTCTGGCGAAATTGCTAGAGGAGGCTTGGTAGCTCCCCTCTCTTCATCTTCCATAGCCATCTGGTTTATTCTGTTAATGTGGTCGAGCTCTTCCTGGGTAAGTGCGGTGGTTGCAGGTGGAAGCTGCCTGTCTTCCCTTTTCTCCTGTTCCATGGCCATTTGATTGATTCTATTAATATGGTCTAACTCTTCCTGGGTAAGCTCTGCAGGTTTTTCATGAACGGCTGTCGGAGGTGGGCGAACTTCTTGCTTCATCCCTAGATCTTCGAGAGCCGTTCGGGCGTCATCAGCTTTCTGCATGACTCCCTTGAAGGCTTTAAGGCCGAAACCAGTAAGAGATTTAGTGTTGAATAATGAGGTCGCTGTTGTGAATGCAGCCGGTTTCTCGGCCATCTTCTCGGGAGGTTTTACTGAAGGAGAAGCGGGCACATAAGGCTTTGTGAAATCCGTGCTCCCTTCGGTAACGATCGGTTGTTCCTCATGCATGATTCTCCCGCGAGATGCTTGAGAAATTTCTTGACTGACCACTTCTTCCAAGGCCATTCGAGCTTTTTGGCTGAGGTGACCCATCTCTTCCTGAGTGAGCTGTGCCGGTCCTACTAAAGGACCAAGAGGTGATGGAAAGGCATCGCGCTGAGCATCTTCTTCCATCGCCATCTGTGTGATCCTGTTGATGTGATCAAGCTCTTCCTGAGTTAGCTCCGATGACTTCCCTGTGATATCTGCCGATGGTAGCTGATCCTGTGGCCTGAACTCGTCTTCCATTGCCATCTGATTGATCCTGTTTATGTGGTCTAACTCTTCTTGGGTGAGTTGTGGTTCACTATCAATATGCAAAGAATCATCAACTGGTCGTGACGCTTCCATGGGTGCTTTTTTCGTCGTCATCTGTTCGAGCGCAGTCTTTGTCTCCTCTGCTTGCTGCATAATGTCTTTAAATGCTTTGAAACCGAATCCAGTAAAAGCTTTGGCGTTGATGAGTGAAGATGCGGAAGATGATCGCCGACTAGTCGCGTCAACTTCACTTTGAGCTCTGGACGAACTGGTATCGGCTTTCTCAGTGACATCAGAGAGTTGGTCCTCCTCTTCTCTTAGCTCACGCTCAGGCTCGTGGGTAGTTTTACCCGAACGACGACTCGAATCATCATCCTGTTGGATAGTTGGTCGACCAACCCCCGGTATCAGTGGGCCTTTGGATACCGCACTGGCCGCATCTCCGATGGCGTCTTTGACCTCTCCGGCCTTTTGCATCACGTCTTTGAGCGATTTGAAACCAAATCCAGTAAACGATTTCATTGAAGGCGCAGAAGAGGGGGTTGAACTTGGCTGAGGCTCCTTTCGTGGTTCAACACCATCGAAGGCATCCAGCTCAGTCTCGCTCTCTAGCGCTTCTTCTCCAATCGAAACAGTATCTTCACCTTCTGTGAGAGATTCTGCAGAGCCTCCGGAACGGGTTTCGGATTGATCCATGTCCGCTGGCTGCACTTCCTCCGATCGTTTGGGTTCTTCTGAAACTTCAGTTAAACCTTCGAATGCCGCTTTAGCTTCTTCCGCTTTTTGCATTACTCCTTTGAATGCCTTTAGACCGAATCCACTGAAAGCTTTGCTATCGAAAAGAGGAGCTGTAGAACGAGGTGCAGTAGATAAAGCTTCTCTCTCAGCTTTGCCCAGAGGCGAAGGATACGGCTGAAGCTGGGGTGAGCCTTCGCTGTCATCTGGTCCACCCAGTTCCATTGCCATTTGATTGATTTTGTTGATGTGGTCGAGTTCTTCCTGAGTGAGCGGAGCAGGTTGTTCTTGAGGAATTGGAATAGTCTGAAGGACTGGCCCTTTGCTTTCTTCTTCAGCTGCCATCTGAGCGATTCTGTTGATGTGGTCTAACTCTTCTTTAGTAAGATCAGGAAGTCCGCCTAGCGAAGCAGAAGGTTGCAGCTGAACTTCCTGTCTTTGTTCGTCCTCCATGGCCATCCGGTTAATTTTCTCAATATGCTCTAACTCTTCCTGGGTTAACTGGGAGGGGATTTTTTCGGAGACGGGCGGTGGTAGACGATCATCAGGTTTCAATCCTATATCTTCAAGTGCTGTTCGAGCTTCTTCAGCCTTCTGCATGACTCCTTTAAGAGCACTGAGACCGAATCCAGTCAAAGACTTAGTACTGAATGTCGAAGAGTCGAAAATTGATGAACGTGGTTGAGACTTCTCCACAGCCTCCGGTGTTTGAGGCTCTGTCGACTGCTCGTCTGATACGTATTCACTTTCATCTGCTCCGTCTGTATGTTCGGATTCCTCGCTATAATCTTCACGACCACCCAGCCTGACATCCTCTTCCATTGCCATTTGAGCAACTCTGTTAATATGGTCCAACTCTTCTTGCGTAAGCTCCGGAGGTTCACTTGGAACAGCTGGGGGCGGCGAACGAGATGGCTGTCTGGTTTCTTCCTGTAGCGCCATCTCGGCCATCTCGTTGATTTTATTGATATGGTCAAGCTCTTCTTGGGTGAGTACGGCTAGCTTCTGTTTCGGAACGACAGAAGGAGAAGGGGCTTCCTTGATCTTTGTCAAATCCTCCAAAGCTGCCCGGGCTCCATCAGCCTTTTGCATTACTCCTTTGAAGGCTTTCATACCGAATCCAGTGAACGGGCTCGTGTCGAAGATATGAGCTGAGCTACTGGATGGAGTGGATGGAAGTTCTTCCTTCGAATCTTTCACAGGCGGTTGAAGCACAGAAGAAGTATGTCGATCTTCGTCCGAAGCCATCTGAGCGATTCTACTGATGTGATCGAGTTCCTCCTGGGTCAGCTGAGGTGGTTCTACTTGAGAAGGAGGAGGCAAAGGGCGGACGTCTTCTTCTTTCGTCAGATCTTCGAAGATACCTTCCTTCTCTCGTTCCTGTTGATGAAGGGTTGCAGGCGTCACGATAGACGGCTGACTAGGCCCATGCCAGGTTTCCTCCATCGCTGCCATTTCATTAATCTTCTTGATGTGTTCAAGTTCTTCCTGAGTGAGTTGGGCAGGCTTCTCTTGGGAAGCAGGAGGTGGAGCATGTACTTCTTTTTTCGCTGCCATATCTTCAAAGGCCGATCGAGCACCTTCAGCCTTCTGCATAACACCTCTGAAAGCTTTGAAGCCAAATCCAGTTATGGACTTTGCATCAAACATAGAGGAAGAAGGTTGACGTTCTTCCATTTGTTCAACTGAATCCGAGGGAAGTTGTTGCTCAACTGCATGTTCCAGCTTCTTCCCCACTTTCACTCGTTCCGTTTGATCATGAGAAAGGGGCATCACTGGAGGCCGTTGATCGGGTCCAGGCCTTCCTTCTTCTCTTGCTGCCAATTCGTTAATCCTATTGATATGTTCCAGTTCTTCCTTGGATAACTGGACTGGTTCCTGCTTGCGAGTAAGAGGTAACTGATGAACATCCCGCCTGTCATCACCCTCCATCGCCATCTGTGTAATTTTGTTGATGTGGTCAAGCTCCTCTTGTGTTAGCTCTTCTTGTTTAGGTGCCTGCCCAAGAGATGGACGTGATGGGGGTTGGTTGCCTTGCATTGATCCACCTTCTGCCGCCATTTGGTTGACTCTATTAATGTGATCAAGCTCTTCTTGGGTAAGCTCTGCATGAGAGCTGGAAGGTGCTAGTTGAGTTTCTTGCCTCGTAGCTAAATCTTCGATTGCAGTTCGCGCTCCTTCTGCTTTCTGCATCACTCCTTTGAAGGCTTTGAGCCCGAACCCGGTCAGGGACTTGGCGCCGAATATGGAGGATGTCACGGGTGGAGTTCGTGGTTGTTCCTCATATTGTTTTCTTTCTTGCTCCATAGCCATCTGTGTGATTCTGTTAATGTGATCAAGTTCCTCCTGAGTGAGCATAGAAGCATTTTGCGTAGGAGATGCCTGCTTATCTACAGCTATCTCGGACTCCCTCTCTATCTTGTCCAGGTCCATTCGTTGAGCAGCTACGGACTCTTTCGATGAAGAGGTACCGGTCTGAACACTTTCTGCTGAAACTGCGACCTGCTGTTCTCCAGAAACTTTGAAACTATCGTCTACATCTCCTTCTTGGACAGGGCTTTTTGCTTCTTCGGCTCCATATATGACATTTTTCAAGGACTGCAATCCGAATCCAGAAAAACCTTTCACCGAGAACATGAAAGAAGATGAAGGAGAAAGGCTGGAGACAGAGCGACGTCCTTGCTGCTCATCGGTGGAGAGCAATGAACCAGAAGGAGAACTAACAGACCCGGCATCGCGTTTCTTTGCTGGCATGTCTCGATTTTCAGGGGCGTCGCGAGCAGAATCTCTTGGTTGAACAGGACGTTTTGCTTCATATAAACTCTCGCCCTGCATGGCCATTTCAGTGACGCGCTTAATGTGGTCTAGTTCTTCCTGTGTGAGCTTGGCGCCAGCATGCTTTTCTTCTTGGGTCAATTTTGGACCTACTTTTGGCTCAGACTCCTCAGGTTTCGAATATGGCTTGGCAGCAGTTTCCACTGCCGAAGACGGAAGGCTACTCACGGTGGTTGCATAAATAGAACGACCGTCATCTTTGTGTTGCTCAGCCAGCTTCGCCACTTTCTCAATGTGTTCGATTTCTTGCATGTTCAACGTAGTCGAAGGTGTTGCCATCGAAGGAGCTGGCGATTTGGTCTCAGCTGCATGAGACGGTTCTTTGCCCCAGATATCTGTCGCGGAAAAGAGTGCTGAGCTTGCTCTCCTAAGCAGAGAGCCGAAGCCCCCAGCTGAAGGTGACGGGGACACAGCCTGTGGTGAGAGAGCTTCCTTGATATCTTCTGAACGCGCAACTTTAGCCGCCTCTATTTCTCTCGTGGCCGCGGATGTCACGTCAAGCGCTTCCTGGACTTCTTCGGTCTTCGAAGGCTTTGACGAGTCCTGAGGCGGACTTTCAGAGTTCTGCTCGGATTCCGCTCGTTGCTCCATTTTTCGAATGGCATCATCAATGTTACGAATTTGAGTATCATAGCCATCGTCCAGTGAATTTCGCGAGACAGCGATCGAGATGCCCTCAGACGATTGGAACGATTCGGTACGCGCAGTTAGCTGATGTGACAACGGTACTGTAATCATATAGGGAGTGCGATGTTCGGCTTTCTCCAGAACATGTTGAATGTGTTGTCGTTCGGCATCCGATAGATTTTCCATGTCGGGCAACATTTGAAGAGCTGATGAGTTCCTGGAAAGCAGTAGATTGTCAGAATTGTCTCTCAACTTGGTAAGGCTCTAGTTTCTTGAAATAAAACCATTTTTAAAAGCATTCCCCTTAAGTTCTACGTAAATCCGTTTCTTTGCGCGGAGTGGCTGAACCTATTCATCTATAATACGTCTAAGCATCCCTTTACCAGAATTACCCACGTCCGAAGTCGTTCATCACTTAATATACCCGCCTATCTCACAAACTCCACCCCGCACAGCTAAAGAGGTAATCTATAAGTTGTAATTGAACTGAGTGGATGAGGGGAAATATAGAAATAGCGGTGCTCAGTAGTCTTTGAAAAAGAGAAGGAAATGCCGAAAAAGCCCTTCAAAGCGGAACTTTCAAGTCAATTCGTAGTCGTTGGTGTTGGATGGAACGTAGGAGGTCTTTCTGTCCATCCTCAGGCGTTCCTAGTAAAGTCGTAGCGACACGAAATTCAAGAAAGCACGGGTGAAATAGCAAAACGCTAAGGGAGACGTTTCGGAACGCCATACACCCGAGTAACTCGCGAAAGACACGTCTATTTGAAGGCGGAGTACACACAAAACACCCTCTTCTTCAGATCCAATTATGCCCTTTCTGGGATGCTGTTTGCAGTTATAGAACAACAAGACGTCTGAGAATTCCCACATACACATGTAAATAATCTTGTGTCAGGGGTTCAGGAGCACAAAATAGTTCAATAAACTCAGGCTAGCTGTTATTTTTGGAAGTTTGTGTGATTTCTTTCGTGGATAAATCAATTTCCGACCCAGAATCATCCCTTTCAGCTAAAAATCCCGACAATCCTGCTTATAGTCCTGCTTTCTAAATATGTACATAGACAAACTGTCAAATGTCGTACCTCCTCGACAAACTCGGCGAAAGACTTCTGTTTGATTTGTTCAACACAGCCATAACGTGCTCCAACTCGGTTTGAGATAAACCATCCAAAGCATGATCTGGAAGCTTGATCGGACTACTAGTAGATGCCCGTGATTCGACACCAGATGACCTGAACAGATTGAAAAATCATTTGTTTTCCTTGATACTAACTGTAGATATCGTTTGGTTGTTTGGGGAACCAACCTTCTCAAAAGATTCAAAATGTCTCCACTACGATCTTCAGAAAGCCTTCTGGACTTTGTATCCATTGTTGAGTCAAACGGTAATGCGACAGATGGGATGGAAGGTCGTGCACGTTCCCTGACAAAACTCGGTCTCCTTGAGAACAACGATGAGAACAAACCTAACGTTGGTACGTCCTTTGGAGCCGGCTCGACTGTGAAGGCGACTCTGTAACAGTTGTGTTCTTTCTAACTGGATCTCTAAATTGTACAATTTGAAAGAAGGTGGGGAAACAATTATAATAAGGAGTCATTATATCTATTGTAAACAAAAACAGCTTCAACTTCGCTATAATACATGTTCTGAGCACAGCGCCCAAACATCAGTCATATGGTAGCAGATTCATTAGCGTACGCTTTATGTAAGAAAAAGGCGAGCGGTTGCGACGCGCTTGAACGGATGCGCATTACAGTAACATGAGATCAGGAAAGTGAATATGTGTGATCGTCGCTCCTGGCTATATAGAGAGGGGATTCCAGTGCACGCCCGGTATGCATTATCGTCAGTTTTCTACCTGTGGGTCTGTTGGTAGCGAATTCGACGAGTAGTCAAAACACCTAGGGCACGTGGGAGGGGAAGGGTAAAATCCTGTATCCATTAACCTTTTCTAGAGGAGATGCACTGTAATAATTTAGGTGCTTCTAGCTTCGATAGTATGCAGATCTTTCGCACTGTCCGGGAGCCCCGTTGATTGGTCAGGCAGGTAATTCATTTTCGCATCCTAATCTGCGCTCTCTCGCCGAGATAGTGATCCTGTGGTCATGATTACACTTCGCACCGTTTTTCGTCTCCTTGTCAACTGTCCATCCATCCCAAGAATCTTTCATTTCATCGGAGTGAGGTGAAATATTCATCTCTTAGCTCACGACCACTTTTTTGTACTATTTCAAGCCAAAACAACATCTTACTACCAAGCGATCTAGCCTTCAGCGTAAGAGACGCAGAGCACAGCGAAATGCCCTTGCTTGTTTCATTATCACCAAATACCTTCTCTAGTTCACATAACCCTTTTTGTTTTGACGTTTTCTTTCACTGATGTTTTGTGGTTTTCGCATCCGCCATTTATCTCTTATCACAAGATTCAGATTTGGTCAGGTAGAAGTTAATTTTTGATGAGAACTCTTATTTAGGACTCGATATCTTATTATAACGATGCATGATATACATTGATATGTTATTTAATGATAGGTCGCCATCGAAAAGTGGGTTAGAGGGGTGCGCTTCGATCCTATCGTTGTTTGTCGCGCGCTTCTTACGCTGCGAATCGCTCGCATCGCGGCTCGTTGCCGCGCGATTCGCCGCGAAAGAAATGCGCCACTCGTCAGATGGTCATTTCGAACGATGCAATGCCATAATACCGTTTGAAATACTTTCCTGCGTGCGATTACTTGTATGGAACTTAGATCGCGTCGTTGAGATGATTGAGATCTGCTTGTAGAGGAAGCAAAGTAGATAAGTAATGAGGCAATTTGAATTTTTTTTTCATGAAGATCAGGGGAATTAGAAATGAGGCAATAAGGCGGTAATTTGAAAAAGAACCCATTTCAGAAAAGAGCAGCACCGATGTTTTTTCCAAAGGTCCGCGCGTGGGAAAATAATTCAAACCGCAAAACTCTCGCTCTGTTCAGACGTGGTCATCATGAGATTGCTGTGCCGCGCGCGAGACGTGTATGGCTGAGCTAGTTCTATCGACGATAGAATCGAACATCCCCTGATTGAAGGATTTAGGGTGTGAGAATCCTCTCTCTTTACAACACAGATCTCACCTACTGGGCCCATCAAATTGAAGCTTTCTCGAAACTCATCATCACCTCTTTCCCGAGTCCGTACGCCCTTCTAGGACTTGGCGGGAGGCGGGAATTGGGAGAAGCTGACCTTTTTTGCAGTACTTTTAAAGAGAGCATAAGGCATGGTATTAAAAACTCCAACAGTAAGAAAAATAAAAAAATTTTTATGTGATTTATTGAATGATTTTGATTGTGATTGATTGTGATGTGTTTGTGATTTTGATTTACGATTGTATTTAAATTTGATCTTCAAAAAAAAATTTCAACGCAGAAACTAACCCGTTGGTTTGGTCGTCGTCGAAACTTGACACTGACGTTGAATGACGAGGCAGTGAGCTATCGGTGAAGTAGCGTGCTCGAGGATTAGCCAGAGCTCGGAAATACATTCTCAGATCACGCTCAGCTTCATCGGCAATGTCTTCAGTAAGTCGATGTGCAGCAAAGTTTAGACGACACAGGAAGTCCACATTACACAATAAATCTCTGCTATCCGTGAAGCTATGCTGTTCACAAAGCTCATAAGCGTTGAGGAAGGCATGATGATGAGAGCAGATATTGGCAACGCAACTAGAACTCAGCGAAAACCGAATGGTGTCCGATGGTTGGGGACCATTTTCCTCCTGGACCACTTCACTAAGCGATCTATGAAAGACTCTGCCACTTGGTGAATCGATAGCGTCAACGGTCACGCCGATGGCTGACGACAGTTTTGGAGTGGATTCTAAATTCTCGTTATCATGAAGGCCTTCTACAGGCATGTACTCTCGTGAAATGGAAGTCGTTGGACTGTCTGGATGAGACGACTGTGATGCACGCAGTGAATGATCCGTATAGATAACCCGAACGTTAGATCCACGCTCGGAGGTTGCAGGGTTATTCCTACCTCCTGAGGAACTGTCTCGTCCATTCTGATCAGTGGACATAAATGACGTTTGCCTTGATAATGTTCGCGACAAATTCGACGTATAGTTTACAGACGTACTTCTGCTCAAATCACGTCTTTTTTCAGAGTCACTGACAGCGCCTGTACTTGTATATCGTCTTCGGAATCTTGATTTCCTATTTTCATCAGTTTGACCAGAGCCACCATCTGGAAGCTCAGAGCTGTTGTAAAACTTAGCGCTTGTGCGAGATTCACCTCGAGAAGACTGAGAAGCACCCCGCGAAGATTCTCCAGAACCCTGAGAAGTTTCTTCTAAACTCTGTGTATTCTCTCTGGGTGCAATATTCTGGTCGCGATTATTTGTTCCCGAACCTTCTGCAGCAACCTGCCTCGTTGATCCATGTGAGGAATAAGAGCTGCTATTCGATATGGTCCTGTCGTACATTTTCGACTGGTAGTGGAAGGAATCGTCAGTACAAGAATCTTCCAGGGGTCCTCCATCACGTGAACGCTCTTCAGGGGACATTTCAACCCGAGATACTGATGAAGTACGTCCCTCAGGACTTGGATGTTGCCTGTCAACATCGTAGTGGGCGGGAGTGGAATAAGGCTCAGCCAGTGGAGCTGTTTGTGCTTCTCCCGATTTTAGTTGAAGTGCATGACAAGCCACATCGTGTGCTTCAATAGGAGAGTCTTTCGAGATGAGGCTCTTGACGGTCGTACGAACTGAAAACTCACTCTGAGAAGAAGCTGCTTGCGGATCAAATTCTTTCGGAGGCAGTTTCCTATCAGTCGATACTTGTGATGTGTCCAGACCGCGATAGTCTCCACTCCGAAGGGAATCCTCTTGATGACTATCTTTGAAACCACCGCCGACATGAGTGGTTGGCAAATACGAGAACTTCTGTGGAAAGAGCTCGTCTTCCGTTCTGACAGCCCCTTCTACGTCAATCTGTTGCTGCTGTGATTCCAGAAGCGGGTGTGGAACCGGTTTGATTTCATAATCGGAGTGACCTGAGAGAGCCGCTTCATTTTTTTCATGCGCTGAGCCACTCCCCACTCCTACGATATTCGCCTCGTCAGCTGTCCAAGATGGAGTAGATGGCCTGCGTAACGCAAGCTTATATGATGTTTCATATTTTTCGACTTGATTCAAAACAGACATCGAAGGATGACCTTCCTTTTCCTCCAGCAGTAGGGAAGGACGCTCATATTCAGAGAGAGGAGAATCGGTATCAGATGGCACCTCTGGATCTGCTCCCGAGGTTGACTCAGTCTCTTCTTCAGAGCCTAAGTCGACGGCAGAACGCGAAAATTTAGCATCTTTATCTGACATTACCATGTGTTCATCAACGACTGCGGAAGGAGGCGCTGGACGAGAGGGTGGCTGAACTGCGAGTGATGTTTCTTCAGCAAGCTTCTGAATATAAGCTATGTGATCCAATTCTTCTTGAGTCAGCGTTGGTTCTGATNCTCGCCGAGATAGTGATCCTGTGGTCATGATTACACTTTGCACCGTTTTTCGTCTCCTTGTCAACTGTCCATCCATCCCAGGAATCTTTTCATTTCATCTGGGTGAGGTGAAATATTCATCTCTTAGCTCACGACCACTTTTTTGTACTA